TCAGCAGGTCGCACCGGAAAATAGTGTGTTCGTAGCATTAGAACAAACGTCATGATATAATGTGTACGACAGCTACAAAATGTAGTTTAAGTTCAGGAAGAATGGTACATGTGACAACGGATTACAGCCACTACAGTACCAAAAACCGACGCGTAAGAATCGTCTGTTTTGTAAACAAAAATGCTCATCAAGCTACAGAGGAATATGTATGAGTGAGTTTGGGATAGTGAGAAAACTGAACTGTTCGAAAAAATTTGTCTGGACTTTTTGTCCATTATCTTCGATAAATGGAAACGTATGTTTGCCGGACTAGTTTATCCGAAAGTAAGAGAAATATAATGGGTCGTTAAACAAATGTATCCGATGCCAAGCATAAATTATGCCTAAAATCCATTTAACGAGGATAGGAAAATTTCTAATATCCTCTCAACGTGTTACTGAATGGGACGAATAGAATATGTTTGTTAGTGAAAATTCGTCAAATAAAGCATGATGAGGTCTGAATCAAGCATTGTGCGAATCATAAATACAAATGACTCATGCTTTTGAAAGACCCGAACAAACCAAACCGATATTTCTAGCACGATTAGATAATTGCGGTTCTCTTTTCTCATCGTGATGAGTCACCATTAGCCTCACTGTGATAGCTGGATGTTGGCTTAAGTAGCCTTGGCGGTGGTGTACTCAAGGGGTGGAGGATTCTCTGAGGGTAAACAAGATTCCAAAAAGAGCTACCTTGGTTTAACAACATCCGTTTTCACGATATAGTGTGTTTCCAAATGCCGCAAAGGCAACTCGAGAAGCGTGACCCGTCGTGCCATCGAAATAACGAATAAACAGCATGAGTGCAACTCTGCTGGTTACCCTTGAGTTGGCAGGTTTGGAATCAAACGTCAGACCTGATGGAGTGAGCAGATGAGGCCAACCGAAAATCCCGCCATATTTTGTTCACATCTGACTTTGTAAAGGTTGATGTTCTATCCCCAAGGAAAGTCAGTATGGTCTTAGATCAGACGGAGTTTTTTACTCGTTCTTTTCCTTGCTTTCCTATAATTATATCCAAGCTCTGGATACAGTTTGAGATACTTTTCAAGATGACTGATCCAAAGGAAGGGGGATCAGTTGAGGAATTGTCATGATCTTGTAATGGCTTCCAAATCACTAATCCTCTACGTCTTTGAGTGGTAACGAATGGTAAAAAACGGCGACGGTATAATTAACCATGCCATGAAAAATTCCGACGTTCTGCATATTTTTTAATCAAAGATCACATGTTATTGCTTGAAACCCTGTGAGCGTTTTTTAAATGAAAGCCTAGTCTTACAGGAAGATAACATCTGTTAGGTGGATTATGCTGACAGAGGCTAAAACCAGTGATAATATCTTCCTGGGGGTAATATCTCAAGAGTGTGGTCGCTTCGGATTGGAGAAAAGGCAGTAGAATTTTTGACGATCCACTTTGAATAACAAGGCTTGAAATGTAGTCAACAGAACAGTTTCCACTAGAAAACATATTTCCATGCTGCTCACCGAATCATCGTCCCAAAGATTGTAATCTATGGAAGTGAGTAACCCGCCAGTTTGACAAGCTCTTTACGATAAATGAGCTACGAACGCTAATCCGAAAACCATATTGCCTGTCTACCTAGGATGATTTTATCATGATTTTGCACCGCTCAAGGGATCTATTTTTCCCATTTTCATTCTGGAGGTTGAAATAAATATAAATGTGGAGGCGAAAGTCGACTATTCCACGAAAAAGGACTTAATTCCGTGGCTTCTGACGCAAAATACTGAAAAGAAAAGAAAACGGAAGTTTTCAACAGCCCTTAGATCTGTCCATAAAATTTAGAAGTTCTTATTGCATTCACTCATTCAAACCAATTTGAATTTCACGGGAGGTTCACCAGAATCCCTGCTGAATCCCTCATTTAAAGTGTTCAGCTGGGATTTAGGTGAGCCTTCCGTGAAAAACAACCGGTATTCTGACGAGGATATTTGTCAATAGTCGTGCAAATTTGGTTCAACTGGCAGACAAGGTTGGCTGTATGGAAACGAGGAGACTGAGCTTATCTGATAAACCCCAAGAATGGACAGACCGTTTGTGGGCTGCCGAAGAGTTTTCAGCAAAAAAAGTAGTGCGTTACCTCTATTTAGATTACACCGTTTACAGCGGGTAAGCAACCCCTAGATAACACCAGAGGCATAGTCTTCGCCACCATGGAATAAGGAGGTAAAATTCATGTGACCTGCTCCTGTTCCCCACACGGTTAAATTACCTCCCGTCCTATTTCAGTCGAATGCGGCAATAGTCAGTCAGCTCAAAATACGATCAGGTAAGTTAATAAGTTCATATTTGGAAACGGCACTGACATTGTTGTTGATTGTTGTTTGGTCCTCAAGATTGCCTACAAATCCCTCTGTAGAATTTTTTTGACACTGTCTCCTGTTTCGTTCGTGGGGAATATGGAGGAAATTTTGTCCTGTAAACAAAACCAGTGTATACTGAAAAGTAGGATATCATCGTACAGTTGTTTCATCATTATTGGGAATCATTAGCAGTGGGCATCTCAAAAAAATTTCAGAAGGACCCGGGCCTGTGATCTACCGGCTTGTAAACTAGGCATAAAGTCACTCATTCTTTAGTCACGTGGTTATGTAATTTCAGCATCGATTGGTTTCACTTATGAAACGAATCTCTGCAAGAATTCTCTTCAAAATTCTCTCTTCAGTCTACTAAGTTGCTCAACGTAGCTCAGAAGAGCATAAAATACGACCAGTGTAAGTCTTAAATTAATCTAATAAATCAATGTGGAAGCAATTTCAGGTCGCATATAAAACTTACTTTATCCGACTCTTAAAAGACTGTTCATGGAGAAAACCAATTTCCTTTCCACAAGAAAGCTTCCTGTCTCGTCCGTCTGGTTATCTCAGTCTGAAACAAACTAACGGGAATTATTCTGAGTGACAGACTCAGTTGTCTCACTTTTTAGGATAGCAAAACTAGTTGGTCCTTCGAAGCACATCTGAACCGTTATGCCGGTATTCTGAACCGTTATGCCGGTATTCTGAACAATCTTTTTTCGTGATGTGTCGGCTAGAAAATATGGTTAAAATATTGGCATTAAAAAAGGCTAATTACCTTAGGATGGGGTAATATTTACGGTTACTTAACCAGGATCAATTCAATACATTTGCTAAGGTAATTTTGAAGCTAAAATGTGACGTGTCCGATAACACGGGGCTGGTCAATGGTGTAGACAAATGCTTCTGGCTTTACGAATGAACATTAGGATGATTTGTAAACTCTCCGCACATTAGGCTAAACAGCAGCCAGACCAAGCCCTTGGTTTGTGCATCTGTGAGCATCATGTGTTTCGTTCCTCCGGGTACACGGCCTAGCGAAATGCATTCAGTAGTTCTTTGGAATGGCAGTTCAGTCCTACAACGGACATACCTTGCAGACCCTTAAAACGAACATGAACGTATTGCTGTGAAAGACTTGTGATCGGCGCCTAATCCGCGATGGTCGTGTGAGTAGTAGCCAGCTCAAAGAAACAAACTGCTGCATAGGATAATTTGGGAAAAAGGATAAATTATTACCAAGTTACACTTGATATTAAGAGCTACGCTGTTGCGTCGTCGAAATTTTTTAACGCCGAGTGCAAGTTTCACGTTGCATTGACACTATAAACACCTGCGGAGAGTGTGTTGTTACCTGGATTATCGAGGGTTGAATGCCTGCATCTGAATTCTTTGAACTACAAAGTGACAGATGAAGACGCTATGATGGCTTCGTTTTTCGTGTACTCGAGAAAAACTCAAGGTTCGAATCTGTCCATCCATCTTGTGTATCTGGTTCACTGAGAATCCACCTAATAAATCGAGTATTCTGTTAGTTATCAATTGACTCTCTTGTCCATAAGTCAGAGTTGATTTCATACCTGCTATTAAAATGTGGTTTAAATCCTGATTGTGAACCCGTTACTCTTAAACAAGGAGAGCCACAAAACTTTCATTTTTTGAGCTCATCAATTATTAATTGTCACTTTTTCAAGTACCTGATGGGATAACCCTAAGGAAAGGCCGGTTGAAAAGACACTTTGAGGGTTGACGTCTTCCCAGCAGGGATCTTTCTGCACAGGACACCAGTGACTGTGTGCCACTTCAATGGTGCTCAGCTACTGCTAATGCAATCTGTGGAATCACTCTGGTTCATGATTGTTTGCGTACTGATCACTAACATTTATGGAGAGATGCAGTCCATCGTAGTGGGTTTGAAGTAGCTTGTGACTGTCAGTTGATATTATCTCTTGGGAATTCCAAAAGGCGCTCTACTGACGGAATGTTGGAGAACACTATATGCATAATATAAACCACCAATAAGTGGAATATTTTTAATTAAGACGACTTCGAAGTGGCGCTCTCGAATATTCCATGGCGTGTTAGACTCTATAAGGCTGTCGCCTACGCTTAACTCCGTGAATTATTGTATTCATAGGCTTATTCAGTGCTCTACAGCACAAGACCGGCCCACCTTCCCTGAAGATGTCACTTAGACTGCCAAGCTCAATGAACAGATCAATAACGAAACAAGGTTGTTAATCCGAAACTGACACTTGGTTATACTCGATGCGTAAACAGTTACCAAAACAAGGACATAGACGCTAATTTTGTTGACCTAAAAGGGAGGAAAACTCTCCTGTGGGGGAAATGACACTAGGGTTAAAGCTTTTGTGGAGTTCCTTAGTGTTAAATTATGTTTGAGCTACACACGGCTGTTATCGGATGGAATGAAAACTCAGACGGGTTTGTTGAAACAAGTCGGATAACTAATGATCAGATGACAAGAACCAACGCAAATTACCATGGCCGACATGGCTCTTAGAGCAATTTTTGAACTGTGTCTTAGCACAAATTTGTTTTTTATCTTTGGCACAAGACCACCTATTTCTCCGTGTTTTACAGTGTTTTACAGGGGACTTCAAAAGTGAAAGCGTGTCGTTTCACCTGGTAGAGGTGACTGAACCGAAACCCCATGTGAAGATCGATTTTAATCACTCAAATTTTTCAACCACGTTTCAGCCGTATGCGAAACCTTGTGTGAACTATCTAGGGAGGAATTTGCCGCCCAACAAATTGTCCGGGAGAATGGGATTTATCTGCTTGGGAAACACCTCCTAATCCGAAGCCTTGGTTCTTCTGATGAGACTCAAATTGAGTCCACTTTTCGCGATATTATTGTTACCGAAGTGGACCGCAGTGAACATACTCTGTCATCTGAAAAACCGGCTGTTCAACTGAATGCGGTTCAATTTTTGCAGGTAAGGAAAGAGTAAAAACAATGTATCGGTTTTTGACAAGTAGCGCGGAAAAGCTGTGGTAAGCTCCGAGCTGTAGAGAATATTCGCAACGCCTAAAGCATGACAATTCTCCTCCAACAGGGATTAGCATAGCATACCTGTCACCTCTTTTTTTAAAAAAAGGCAGGTTTGCGGATTATCAAAAGAGGATTCGGTGGCTAGTTTAAACAAAACTAAGAAGAAAATTGATTCCTTTCCTTGAGGGATTAATCTATAATCTTATTTGATTTCCCAGTTACCTGGACCAAACTCTCTCGTCGACGATTCACATTTTAGACAATTTTCTGCCTCATTTAAAATTGAGGTGTTTGGAAGATAAGTTTGTACTTATTTTCCCTCCTCTCATGTGTAGTAGTCACTTATAAAGAGACACCTGCCCAGACCTCAAAGATGAGTAGTCCAAGTTATTTCTTCCAGATTCAGGTTTTCCGGACCTTTCGCCGTTTGGCACAACTCGAACGCCATCGTCGTATGTTAAAGTCCCTCCTTCCGGCAACTCTTCTTGCTGAACTTCTGGGACTGAATGCATTCACTGAAGATGAAGTAAACTATCAACGCCTGGTTGACTGGATGTCATGTCTGAGTGTGAGTTGGGCATCTTCAAATTTGTAGTGATGTTCCCTGTTAGCAATTTTTATCTGTTGCTGTACTCCACCATATTAAAAACGCACACATAATATTACTTATTCACATTTTTTGTTCCGAATCGGTTTCGTGGCAAGGTACCCACACTCAACAAACTGACTTCAGGGATTTCAGCAAGGTTCATTGTGTAGAGTTAGTTGTGTCTGACCACTGGCTGCTAAGTTCAGCAAACGAATTAAGTACCAACTCATCAGCAACCAGACCGTTTCGTCAGCGGAAGTGTTTTCATGTCGGACGCATCAACACCTTCTGGATCATGCAATGAAATTTACCACGCGTTGTAGTAGTTCACTTTGCATCCGAACATTTCAGACGGTCAGTAATCCCACGCAGTCATGTCTGTGATTCAGGAGAACGAGTTGAGGAACCGTCAAGAGCAGCTACGGTCGACTTTGGCACGGGAAACATTTGTAAGCGACTTGCATACATTCATCTACGACGATGAATATGTCACGAATATTTAAGGAATGGGTTCCCACTTATGATAGGTAATCCACAGGTTGTCGGTGATAACCAGTACAGATAACAGGTAACAAGAATTTTGGATCCAAGTTTTTCAGTTAAGAACTCACACGAAAACCCTATTGTTCCCGTGTTTCTTCGTGAATTTAACAAATGGCTTTAAGAAATCGTGACATGGCTTCCTCAGCTACGTTTATTTTGGAGAAAATAGCCTAAAAACTGTTTATTAGACAGCCCGGAAAGAGTTTATTATATCGGTTCAGGCAAGTAGAGCTCATTATATAGAGTCGTAAAAAAGGATATTAATGTTTCTACGCCACCCCTCGGAAAATGATATGAGAATTCATGACACCCCGGGTTGTGTTTCGAAATACAGACATCCCCATCATCTACCACAGTCTCGTTTGACTCCATCTGGAAAATATCCAAATATTTCGACGCATAATGGTGATTGATTATTTCCCCTTTTGATACCTCTAGCCAAAATTATAGTGGAATATTTTAAACAAAAGTTTATTCCCTACCAAATTAGCAGGTATTTGGTGTCAATTTTAGCATCATGATTCCTCCCGTGCTCCCGAAAACAATTCATAGGCGGGTTCTGTACAACGTATAACGGGATGTGCAAACGTCTCATTTGCCTCAACATTAGCTTATTTAACTCGAAGTATCTCAGGAGTGTATGCATAAAAGTGTGCTAAACCCTGATTGGACGAACCACCACAATTTTTAACCAATCAGGAAGAAGATCAATCAAGATTGCTCAGAGGTGTGCGTGCGTGCGATTTGGATCAGCCTCCCGTGCAATGGATTCGTGAATACGCCGTGTCGGAATTGCTCGGTACCGGAGCGTTTGGACAAGTCTACAAGGCGCGCAAAGAGACAAAGTCCGGTCAGCCGCAGGTTTATGCGATCAAAGAGGTAAACTCATAATGAAGGTTTTCTAGCAGGAAACGAAATTTCCCACTTTCGGAGTACTTAAATTGACATGAACAGAAATGTGTCAACCTTGTTGATGTTCTACACTTGAATTACCCATAGCTACTATTTTAGTATCCTTACGAAGTGCATGTGAATACGCAAAACGTTTCGAGTGGGGAATACCGACCATTGGTGCAACTACTAACCCTTATGAAAATTACTGTGGAACGATTCGAAATTGGGTGAAGTAAACCCAATAAGAAACCTATGAAACAGGGAGGATTTCAATCAAAAACGCATCCAGCAATGCAGACTAAGTTTGATAAACCAAGCATACCGATAAGAGTATTGTTTTCTATGTCTAACTCAGAGAGGTGGAAACTTAAAAGTTGACAGAATTTGACGTTGGAGTTTTGAAGGACGCTACAGGAAGTCTGGATGCTGTTGACGCTGTTTGCCATCAAGGATTGGATTCAAATGACCCTCTCGTACTTGGCTGGAGATAATGAACGAGGCAATATCTAACCGGTGTTAGTGGCGTCCATGTTGTCATTTTTTGTCCAGATTGTCTGACTGCGTGTTGAAGATATGGGCGCTTCGAATGTTTGATGTAGGCTAGCCCTAAGTATCCCTTCATGTCCCATTGTTTCTTTATATTATGAGGCTTTTTTCGAATAAACTGACAGATATGGACAACAGTGAAGTCATAGCACCTTCATTCGGCACGATTATCATTCTTTGATCGATTTTTTTTCTGGTAATTAGAGTCATTCATTGCTTAATGGCCAAGAGGCGCGGTAAGGCTGTTTTTCCCTAACTGGGATTCATCGGCAGTACATATGCCCTGAATATCCAAAGTGGTCAGATTGACGACATCCTACCTAACTGCTGAGCAGTTACTCGTGACACAAATGGTCTTCAACTACCTGCCAGGTGAACGCGAGTTTGAAACTCCCTGAAATTTTGTCAAATATGTACTGCTGCTTTTTCCCACAAAAAACGAACAAGTGTTTTTCGGCTTTTTACCATAGACGTATTTTGTTCACAGGATGAAATCCTGATTTAAAATGTCAAAAAATTCTTCATCCTACAAAACTTTTTCATTGATTTTCCACTCTCCGTAAGCGGCATCGTTACCTTTTTTGTGTAGTTCAACCGTATTAAAGGCATCCCAATTTTCGGACCGGAGAGCTTCCTTGAGTTCATATGGGGCAATAAATTAATATGAATCGATCCAAGGCTGTATGCGTGAAACACTGTCTAATAACCTTTTTTCGTTAATATTTTCTTCTACGAGGCTTCGATCTAAATTTGGCACTTGCTTGAACTAAGGTTAGTTCACCATAAGTCCAAGACAACACAAATATGCTTCGACTTGTAAAATGCACGAGGATTTTTTTGACCGTCGAAAAGTCTAACATCCTCCGGTTTGCTCCACTCTGTACACAGGGTGTCCGTCCATCAACGCCAGATTCAGTGCTCTAAAGAGGTTAACTCTTCGCAATTCCTATAGTTCGTTAGGTATTTTGTTTCTGTATTATTATTCCGGTTTGTTCTGAAAAGATCACCTGTGTGATTCATTTCATGAGACGTTTTTAGCGGAAGGAGACAAAAACAGTGTCATACGAACAAAATAAATCGTTTTTGAGGTCCCTTGCCACCGAGAAAACAAACAACAATAATTGCTACTCAGTTATAAATTTGTTACCAAAATATATGATTCCCAAAAGCGCAGTTCTTAATTTGCATCTTTGTTAGGAGGGAAACCCGCTTCATGCGGGTGGCATAGGGTATTTTAAGAGCTGAGCGGGGATATTTCAAGTTGTATCCCCTCCCCACCCAAGTGAACTCAGATTAAGATGGTTGGGCTTGGAGAGGACCGATGTACATTAAAATAGCAGGTGGATTTGAGAGTGGCCGGTAGAACCAGTAATCTAAGGGCAAATTCAATGTTTTTATTAGGCCAAAAGGTTCGCAACAGATGTTTTAATCCATGTGAGTTTAAATATCGACCAATGTTGATCAAAATCAACTACTCTGAAGTTCACTTCTAGTCCGGCCGACAGTCAAAGTTAAGAAGACAAAGTTTCGGCTTTTTCTGTGATTGGTTCCAATGTTGACAAAATCAACTACTCTGAAGTTCACTTCTAGTCCGGCCGACAGTCAAAGTTAAGAAGACAAAGTTTCGGCTTTTTCTGTGATTGGTTCATTGATCATTGTGATGAGTGAGTCATCGGATCACTGTACCGTAGTGTTGATTGGTTTGCGTCGCACGAGTTTATCGTAAACATTCGATGCACCATTTGATTGGAGTCTGTTCCTAGGTCGCCAGTTCTCTGCATCCAGTGTGACCTCGACGACACCATAGCTGTCAGCGTGGGTAAGCACATTTTTCAGTTGAAAGGCGATGTGTAGTTGGGTCTCCATTCGTTTATTTGCCTAGTTGAAGGATTTTAACCGCCAGTGTTTCAGAAGCGTTTCTTTGGAGACGGACAGCTTTAACATATTTGTAACGAGATGCTTTAGAAAACCGGCACCCGGCTGTGCATGAGGTATTTCAGTCGCGGAAAACATTCATCACCAGCAGCTGCGGTGGCACGCTCATGTAATACGCATGCCAAAACACTGTCTACCAGGACGACTACTGTTCTTCATGCCTACTTCAAAATGGCCCAAACCGATGGGTGGACAGTGTATGAAAGCAAAGACAAAGGGTTTGGGTGTTGCTGGTGCGATTCGTTTACCAGGACGTGGTCCGCATGACCCCCCCTTTGCGCTTGGATGGAGACAGAAATGACAGCTAATTGATGTCAGTGGCGTTAGTTTTATCACTTACGTCCCAGATTGCCTGACTGAGCTCTTGTGGGCATGGGCACCTCAGAACGCTTGACATGAGCTAGCATCAGGTGCCGCCTCACCTCCACTTTTCTCTGTATCTTAAGGCTCAAAGATAACTTCATAAACTTCGCTGTTCGAGGTCAGTGAAGCATCAACGACAGCAGGGATTTTTCTGTCCCTGATGCTGGTGATGATGGCCTATCCCATGGCCTGGGATAGGAAAACCCTATCCAGATTAACTTTGTTGGTTGTTGATCAGATGGCTGTTCGACAGCAGGTTTCTGTCCCTGATGCTGGTGATGATGGCCTATCCCATGGCCTGGGATAGGAAAACCCTATCCAGATTAACTTTGTTGGTTGGTTATCAGATGGCTGTTGATCTGTTCGCTGAGCTTGGCAATTGGCTTGCAAACGTTTCGTCACCATACGAGGAGACATCATCAGTGCGCAGTTGGGTGGGTGTTGCGAGAGTCGAGTAGTTCCAGGACGGGATTAGAAAGGAGACAGAATAGGAAGACGTAATGTACGCTTTAATCGTCTAATAACTTTAGTACATGAGCTGAAAATAGAGTGAGAATCGCGAGTTAATGGGTTATGCAAAGGTATGGGTTATATAGTAATGACATTCTGCCCGCCTTGGAATAAGTGTGTACTTTGCGGAGAAAGAATGTGAAAAAATAAAAGGCTTTAATAGTTACATGGAGTCGTTTACGCCTCTCTGTTGCGTAGATTATATGGGTGAGTGCGCTGTTGTCGGATAAGAATGTCCAAGTGATTTCCTGGATCTGCACTAGAATGGGATGGCGAGGCATCGTTAATAGGCAAGAGTTCAGTTTCTGAGCAACCACGGTGGATTGTTGGTGTTGTGTGAGGCTCCCCTTGTTCGGCGATATGTATTGGTTCCTGTTCTGTGTCGGATGTCATGTCGTTGCCTTTGGGAGCCAAGCGGCGCAAGGATACGGTTTCGTGTTTGCCATCTGGACGAACTATGTGGGCGTACTGTGGATTACAAGAGACGAGTTCCACTTCCTCTACCAGAGGGTCATATTTAGAGACTCGATCATTGCGTTTTAAAAGGATTGGCCCAGGGACAGTAAGCCAGGTAGGTAGGGAGGCACCGTTGGCTGATCGTCGTGTGAACGGCATAAAACGTTCGTGTGGGGTACAGTTGATACTAGTACATAACAGGGATCTGATACAGTGAAGAGCATCAAGGAGGACAGCCTCCCAATGTGTGACAGGCAAGCCGCGCGATTTTAGAGCCAGGCAGATGGTCTTCCAAAGGGTACCATTAAGTCGTTCAACCTGACCATTACATTGTGGATTATATGCAGCGGTGTGACTACTGGCAACGCCTTTATCGAACAAAAATTGTTTGAGTTCAGTTGATATGAATGCAGAACCGCGATCTGAGTGAATATAAGCAGGCATACCAAACAGTGAAAACAGTTGACTCAAACAACGAATTACAGTGGAAGAGGACGTATCGGCGCAGGGATAAGCAAAAGGGAATCGAGAATACTCGTCAACGATTGTTAAGAGGTACTTATTACGAGTGTTTGAGGGAAGTGGGCCTTTAAAGTCGATACTAAGGCGTTCGAACGGTTGTGTGGCTTTGATAAGCTGGCGACGAAAGGTGTCACAAAATTTTGGTTTGTGCTCGGAGCATGTGGAACAGTTGGACACCACACGTCGGATATCGCTGACTGAAAAAGGAAGATTCTTAGAACGAACAAAATGTGCAAATCTCGTGACCCCGGGATGGCATAATATGTTGTGAAGCTCTTCAAGTTTTTCCGTCCCGGTAATGTTGGCACAGAGGTTACGAGATAGGGTATCAGCAACGCGGTCATCTGTTCCAGGTCTATAGACAACGTCGTAGTTGTACCCTGCCAACTCGATTTTCCACCGTTCAATCTTGTCGTTCTTTATTTTACTTTTCTGTTGGTTCCCATACATAAAGGCGACCGAACGTTGATCCGTAATCAATTTAAAATGTCTCCCGAGGAGATAGTGGTGCCATTTGCGGATCGCTTCGACCATAGCATATGCTTCTTTTTCAACAGGAGAATGATTTTTCTCGCTTGCAGTCGAGGTTCTGTAGAAAAAGGCGACCGGCCCGCTTACCTGGCCCAGGGATGCACCAATAGCTATGTCGGACG